GGTTCATTGAACGTTTTGGTAAAGTTGCTTCAGTGTTACTGAACAACTATTGCTTCAACTCATACTACTGGTGAAACTTGATTTCGAATTTCCAGTACAATCAGCACTTATTAGTTTCGTTACAAATTGTTGTGGTACACCCAACAAATATACTTCACACTACAACCAAAACTATTATTACACTTAACAGTAAAACCAACAGGTGTGTGTAAGCTTTGCGGTAAAACCCAAGGACGTGTATTTCTTAAGCCACCAACAGTTTTACCTTACACTTCTCCTACAATAAACAACTGTGTCCACAAATGTTCTTAACACTTTCTGGTTAATCGGCTTTTTACGTTCTCAGTACAACAAAAAACTATATTTTACACATTCTAGTGTAAGCGCTAACTTTGTTTTACACTTATTAACACAATAAATTGTGTATTTTAACTTTCCAACTTCCCACTACAAATAACGCATTTGTCCTCCAAGCAACACATTCACCAACTGTTCCCTGAACATTACATCGCTGTCATTTAACCATTATGAAACGTTACGAGCACAACAAACATCTCTAACATACGCTTGCTAATACAAAAACAACTGTGGTTTACAATTTTTGTACAACTAATTCTTCTCTCTTCACACTTTCCTGTACAACCAATTCTCTTACATTCATTAGTTGAACCAAAGAATATCAAGACTTTTATAATTTGAGAAGTTTCAGTAAAGGCACATTTAATAGTTAAGTATTGCTTATCAGGAGAGTTCTATTAATTGCATCGTTCTGATGGAGGTCATAATTCAGAGCCCAAAATATGTATACCTAAACTTTCCACACTTAAAATTCGTAAAATTTTTCTACAACAATATTAAAGAGCATATGATGGGCGTACATAATCACTCTTAATGTCTCGAGACGGATTTTACGAAATATTGTTCAGCTCAGAACCTCGTCAAATCTAAAGTGACATTTGTTAGTAGCAAACAAACTATGTATCTTATTTAGCAATGAATTAGAGCTTACGTGTACTGCACATAGTTTGAAACATCATTTTCAGGCTTTAGATCTTATAAACCTGCAATATCGATGTCTCAGTCTGAAGCAAGTTCCAGAGCTCAAATTTATTATTTCCAGCCTTGTGTTGATTTGTTGGAAGATAGGAAAACATTTAACATCAACGAAACAGAGTAATTTAAACACATTAAAGCAGGGAAAAGTATATTAGAAATTTTTATTAGCTTGTTTTAAATATGTTTGAGTCTGAATATGGTCATCTTATACTTGTAATCTTCAATAACTATCTTTAATTTTGTATAAAATTATCAGTCGCTTATGTGGTTGTTGTTGTTTTTTTATAATTTATACGTAAAGCTACACAATAGCTCTCTGTTCAAAGTTGTTCCTAGTTTTGAGCTGATAAGCTAGAGGGATGACAGATAGTCCACAATACCAACCGTCAGTTCTTTGATTTCTCTTGTTTGACCATAATGTTGGATTTGATCATCGTTCTCACAGTCAACTCACGGTCTCATTGTGAGAGGAATGTATTTTGCGACAACAGGACGCGAATAGATTCGCAATCCGGGCAAGCTAACCAAAGGGCCACGCCTGGCTTCTAAGTGTAAGAACAAAGTTGAGTATTTGTCATTAACTTCTACACTTTGAATAGATCAGAACCCAAATTTATCCCGTGTAAAACATCTCCAAGAAAAGTTAAAGCAAAGTAAGGAAAAGATGTAAAGGGTGAAAATATATATAAAATTTGGTTGTTCGGGTTTTCATTTTAACTAAATAACTTTTGAAAATCTCCCTTGTTATAGAAACCGTCGCTGGTTCAGTAATTCTCAGGTGAGTTGATCTATCTTTTCTATTAAGCTTTACCAACAGATTATGCTTGTGCTTATTAGCACACAAAGTGGCTATTTGTTATGATATTAATTGAACTAAACTTAATCTGAAATGTTCTCAAAATACACACAATAAATTCTTAAATGCTATTTTTATTTTTTATGAAGTTTTCAAAAGAAAACAAGTCAAAAGATCTTTTTACTATTAGAACTAAGTAGAAATATTTTAGCAATATTACTTATAATAGTGAGAAATCTTTTCAGCACAGCGTTTTTAGCATGCAGGGTCCCACAAATAATATAAGGAACAGTCCCTAAGCAAAACAATTTGTTTGATGTGGCGCTCGACACAGAGCACCTTCAGGCTTAAAATGATAACCTCGTCACCATGACAACCTAATGCATAACGTAGAACATGTTTTACTATGAATTTTATGACAAAACTCAAGTGCACAGAATTTGTGAATTTCACACGTACTGTATTCAAATATATAAAATAACACTTTCTTCGGTATTGCTCTTTTAGTGGACTTCATAGAAGAGCCAAGTTGATCTTGAAGAAGAACGGTCTTTATTGCATATTTCAAATATATCCTATTCCACTATACTTTCAGTGAAATTATAAACTCATCAGTAAAAAAAACTTTCAAATCTCTTTAAAACAGCATTATTTCGAAATATTCCAGTCTAAAGCGATATCTTTATTTTCCGTTTTTTTTAAGGTTGTTATATTAATTTATAATCTTAAGGTTTACCTGAAGGGTACTAGTTAGTTATCATTTATAAATTGTTGAAATCATAAACTACAGCCAATCTCAACCGAACAACTGTCTGTGGGAACATCGAACAAGGAAACATTTGATCAGATGGAAACATAAAGAGAAATTATTTATTGAAAGCTATACTTTCTCCCTACTTTCAATAACTGTAAATCCATTTTATGTTCTCTCATCAGAACCGATATTACGATAAAGTTTAATTTTTTTTAGTCAAGTGTTTTACGGGTTTTACAAGTAATTTTACATTAAAATGCTATAATTTCAGAGAAAATTATATTTTTATATTCTGCTGGTCAAACTGTACAACTTTAAGTGATATCTGTGTAAGAGATTGAATGATAGACAAACAAATTAATAGATAGATGGATAGGTTCTTTACAAGTACTTTTATTAGTTCATAGACGTTTAATATATGTATTTTTTATGAAACAGTTGGAATATTTTAGAACAATGACTAAATTCATAATAATATCTGTAGACGGTTTGAAAGTTACTAACGTTCTGAATACAAGTTATTTGTAGCACAACAAATCCAGAATTATCTTACATTAGTAAAAGTATACCAAAGAAGAGTTTAATCTACGTAAATCTAACGCTGCTAGTCAAACCACGTGTACTTTACTTGTTTATATTTTCCTGAGGTCATGGAAATACGCCATTTGTTATCTATCAAGGATAGAACAAGCAGAGAAGCCCATCACCTAACGACCACATGTTGCAGAAAGGAGAAAAGTTTGAGAAATAAAAATCAATAAATCTGAGATCTCAAGGCCGAGCCAGGCTTTCTGGAAAACTTCGGTTGGAGTTTTGGTTATCTTACTGTATAATTCATTACACCTGCAACTAGACTATTGTGATTTCTTGATATTGGCAGTAACTAACATTTTTTCAAGTGACAAATCTAATTTATGAAAAGCATTAATAGAAGAAAAAACAGAATAGAAATGTTTTAATCATAAAGTATTTAAAGTATCATGAAACTCTAATTATTTCTTTAAAATAGGTGTATCATAAACTCTAATTATTTCTTTAAAATAGGTGTATCCTGAAACTCTAATTATTTCTTTAAAATGGGTGTATCATAAACTCTAATTATTTCTTTAAAATAGGCATATCATGAAACTCTAATTATTTCTTTAAAATAGATGTATCATAAACTCTAATTATTTCTTTAAAATAGGTGTATCATGAAACTCTAATTATTTCTTTAAAATAGGTGTATCATGAAACTCTAATTATTTCTTTAAAATAGATGTATCATGAAACTCTAATTATTTCTTCTAGCACATTTTTGTTTCTAACTAAATATAACAACATCCTTATAGTTTACATCATCTTATTCTCTCTCTATCATTTAGTATAGAGAGCATGTGACTATGGAAATTTTGTGTTTTAATGAATACTTTGGCAGTAGCTGAATAAAAACAACTGAATGTCTCAATTTATTTATATGATTATACTATTTTTTACAATAGAAAAATTATAACTATTTGTTGGTATAAGTTTAAAACTCAGATCGTAAGTCAAAAAGAACTTGGAAGAATATCTGCTTGTTGGGATGGAATTATAAATAGATGGGGTTAAAATATAGTGTATTAGTAGGATGGGACTAATGTTATTGCTGTTTAGTAGGATGGGACTAATGTTATTGCTGTTTAGTAAGATGGAACTAATGTTATTGCTGTTTAGTAAGATGGGACTAATGTTATTGCTGTTTAGTAGGATGGGACTAATGTTATTGCTGTTTAGTAGGATGGGACTAATGTTATTGCTGTTTAGTAAGATGGAACTAATGTTATTGCTGTTTAGTAAGATGGAACTAATGTTATTGCTGTTTAGTGAGGTGGGACTAAGATTATTGATGTTTAGTAAGATGGAACTAATGTTATTGCTGTTTAGTAGGATGGGACTAATGTTATTGCTGTTTAGTGAGATGAAACTAATGTTATTGCTGTTTAGTAAGATGGAACTAATGTTATTGCTGTTTAGTGAGATGGAACTAATGTTATTTAGTAACTTGGGACTAAGATTCCTGACGTTTATTAGGATGAAATTAAATTTACAGCTATTTATTACAATGTAACAGAGATTATAGTTTTCTATAGGACGTAACTAAGATTATAGCTCCTTGTAAGAATGAAGTTAAAATTAAAGCTACTTGTTGGGATGGAGTTAAAATCAAAGCTTTTTTTATGAATTAAAATTCAAAACTGTTCAGATTAAAGTGAAGATTATACATATACTGAACTGTCAGAAAGAAAAGCGAAAAAAATACATCAGTAAAATTTTTCTCACTCTCTATCTTAGTTCTTTTTTACAACAACAACAACAACGACAACAACAAAATAAATAACGGGACATTCACAACTTATAAGACGAAAGACTTACAGACAGCTTGGTGCACGGTACATAGAGAACCTGGTCACTTCGCCCTCCTTCCGATCTTTGGCCTGTCGGAGGACCAATGCGAAATCCTTTGGCTTTTACCCAAAAGCGAAATTTGGAGTTCTCAGCATTGCTGTGTTCTTCTCCTTTTAATATCTTCATTATTCTTGAGTACTTTTTTCGAGTAACTGTCTTGGTTTTAGCACTATCACCGTAAGTCTTCATGGCCCAGCACTTAAATCTATCATACATTTCTCGTTTGTTCATATCCACTGTTTCCGATATTGAGCTCTGACTTGTAGGGGGGTCTTCTTCCTTCTCTTTCTCTAAATCGGGGCACTCTGGACTGACGGAGGAAGCAGCTACCGCAGCCGCCGCTGCTGCTAGAGCAGCCGCATGACGCGTATTGTGTCGTCTTTCCATACGCTGATGGCTAACTGTTGTATCAGCACGGGCCGAAGCAGACCACGTCCCGAATGCCGACCAGACCGGTTTAAACACGAATCTGGATATTCTGTTTTAGGGACTAACTGGGGACAAGGAACGAAAAAACAAAAACAGTGCTACTGTGCTTTAACTGGTATCTCAGAAGAGCTTGGATTGTTGCTGCACGATGATCTTTCTCTACTACTACGCCTCCATTTAGTGCAGCAACGTCACAACTAGGCCCGTCAGCCACTCAGAGATCTGCACGCGCCCTTGTGCTATCGAACCTTTACGCAGTCCCTTCTGCCCCGCCCGCACACTCTAGAATATCAGAACGTAGTAGCTTGTGTACTCCAGGCCCACTATTATCACAAGCTTCAACCCCTATCAGCCAAACATGGAATATCCCAAATCCAAGTGTCTTGAAAACCTACATCTATTTTGATTTCTATTGCCTCTATCTTTAATTTATAAGAAGTGAATTTTATTCTTTTTTTTTGCCCATTTTCGTTGTTTTAATCCTGTGAATACCGCGGTTTTATTTTTGAAATCTTAGTTTTAAACTGATTTAGTTAATGTAGTCGTGAAGTTAAAATCATTATACGTTGCATTATGAGCACCCGTGATAATCAAGAGACGTATGTCCCAAACAGGAATCTTAATAACTCTAAAAGTTTCTCTTCGCGCAGTATAACATTTATTGCGTTTCTTATCACATGGGGCAGGACATGAAAAGATGATGAGAAGTAAAATCTGTCAATAATTTCAACTGCAACGGCCTCACTATGGTTTTAAGTGATACGTCAGGTAGCTGTAAAATTCACCTCATCCCAATATTTTTTGGCCCTCAACTTTTCTGCTTGATACCATGGTGATTGATTACCCTGACGAAAAGCGGGGGTTTTAGTTTGCCAGCGTACCTCAGGAGTTATTGATTTACCGAGAAAGGATTTTCTGTGCCTTGCAAGGTGAAAAGCACAAGGCCAACGAGAATCCACGCCCGACCCGTGGATGATATATAATAGAAAGCAATACAAACGTGAAACAGCCCCTCTAGTGATAGCGTGCCTGAAACTCTGTCAATAAGTAGCAAATGGCGTTCGATAAGTCACATGGGTTTACATAATGACACACATGTGTAACGGTTTGTCAGCGCGAGACGTGGCAGCTACGCGTGGGCGTATGGATCTGCACGAAGTGGTCTTATTTTTACTTTTACCATCCCGTTTGATCTCGGATAAAACCGGCTGGTGAAAGCTGAGGGTGATAATTTTAGGGTAGTTTGTGGGGTGAATGATAAATGTGAGGGACTTACCAGCTGTTGAGGGGCACGTCCTTAATTTTGCCACTTTATTATCTTAGAAACATTAAACGTAGAGATATAGATCGTAGTGTAAAATTGCAACCACTGGCATAAGTATTGAAATATTCTAGCTGATACAGAAGATTTGCAAAAAGTTTGTATAATATACATATATATATATATATACATAATTATCATAAGCAAAGAAAAAAAATTTAAGTTTCTAGTTAGAGAAAGCAAACATTCTGCAAGAAACAACTTCATATCTCCATTTCAACTACTGAAAACTATATATTATAGCCAATACAAAAACTGACCATACAAATTAAATGATGTAAGAATTGTAAATTACAAACCGTTAACACTTTTTAAATTATAGAAAATTGATAAATCTTGCTTTACATCTTAACTTAGCTAGAGATTAATTTTCTGTTGGCTAGAAGACTCATTTTGCAATTAGAATACGTGTTTCCAAGTCTAAATGTTATCATAAATGTAATTTTCTGTTTTGTTATACAGGAACTACAGGCTAGCTCGTGCTTTAAAAAGTTTGGTCTGCCGTAGTTCAGCTTTTGCGCTGTTTTCTTTTCTTAGCAATATAGGAATGATAACGTTTTAAGTTAAAAAAGACGTTTGTTTTATTACTAAGCGCCAACTAGTTAAAAAAAAGTAATGAGGCGATATCTAGTTGACAAGGTATAAAATTAAAAACTTTAGTTAACGAGCAAGATTTAGTTTGCAATTTAATCTTTAGTTAAACATTTCGTTTTTCGTACGTTTGTGTTTAGCCTAATTTCATTTTATAACACGTGATTCTTTAATAATGAAGAGTATTCGTAGTTTCTTTTTTTTTCCTTTTTATTGATGTTGGTAGAAAAGAAGCAAATTAAAGTTGATTATTACGGGTGATACCTAAACACGATTTTATTCGGGTTAAACAATATCAGCTTCATAGTCCGTTTTTCTGCACAACAGATATTGCTATACAGTAAAGCTACTTTTACAGGCTCTAATGACTTCTGTTGTCCCTCCTAAAGTCTTCGACATTATTCTACGTATTAGAAATAAACTAATAGATAAAGTAGAAATATGAAAACTATTAGCATGATAAAATACCTCCAGACTTACACACACATTTAATAATTTACTCATTTCTGTCAAAATAGAAATATATCACAAACACACACACCCATACAACCCCTTCACATAGTTATAGTTACAAGTAATTTAAGCTCTTTTTTACGCAAGCATTAAACTTCGGAATTTATGACCAACAAAGAGACATTGTATGAGCTACATTATTGTTATTATGAAGTAAATTCCAGCCCCCTTTTTAGTGTTTTACTATTATATCCTCACCTCATTAAGGTTTTGAAGCTAGGGTGTCAATTTCAGGGGTTAGATTTTATCTATCGCTTACAAAGTATGTTTCTAAAATCAATTATATTTGACTGTATTGTTGTTGTTGTTGTTTCGTTCACAAAACATGTGCAGACAGTAAACATTGGTGTAGGGGATGACTGATGCACCCATATCCATTTCTAATTTAAAAATTCAGATTTCTTCCAAATGGAAGGCCTTCAATACATAGGCTTATTATATGTGATAAAAGTGCCTCCAAGATTCTCTTGGTACGTATATATTACATAGTTATCTAGTACTGCCTAAAACCTCTCCTAACAGTATGCATCCAGCTATTATCACTCTGATAGATATCTTACTAGAACAAAGTTAACTATGAACTATTCTTTTCGTGATACTTCTCCTACTAGCTAACTGTGTTTGCTATTATAGGTCTAATATATCTCCTACCAGGACACAGTTAACTATGAACTATTATTTTCGTGATACTTCTCCTACTAGCTAAATGTGTCAGCTATTATAGGTCTAATATATCTCCTACCAGGACACAGTTAACTATGAACTATTAGTTTCGTAATACTTCTCCTACTAGCTAACTGTGTTTGCTATTATAGGTCTAATATATCTCCTACCAGGACATAGTTAACTATGAACTATTATTTTCGTGATACTTCTCCTACTAGCTAAATGTGTCAGCTATTATGGTCCAATATATCTCCTACCAGGACACAGTTAACTATGAACTATTATTTTCGTGATACTTCTCCTACTAGCTAAATGTGTCAGCTATTATCAAATTAACATATCTCCTACCAGGACACAGTTAACTATGAACTATTATTTTCGTGATACTTCTCCTACTAGCTATTATCAAACCATGAACTATTATTTTCGTGATACTTCTCCTACAAGTTAACTGTGTTAGCTATTATCAGTCTAATACCTTTCTTACCATCATACAGCTATTCGCACTCTAATATCTAATATATATTATATTAAAACAAGACTGTTCCCCCTCTATTATATCGCCTACCAGAACAAAGTTAACTATGAACTATTATTTTCGTGATACTTCTCCTACAAGTTAACTGTGTTAGCTATTATCAGTCTAATACCTTTCTTACCATCACACAGCTATTCGCACTCTAATATCTAATATATATTCTACTTAAACAAGACTGTTCCCCTCTCTATTATATCGCCTACCAGAACACAGTTAGCTTTTACTGCATTAATACCCCTCCTATCGGAGCTTAACTATTTCCAATCTATTGCTCGCGCCTTAGGTTTATTATTTGCCTGTTTTACGTGTATCACTTTCTTTATTTTGTTGGATTTGGTGTATTTAATATGTAAAAACAAAGTTACAGAGAGGTAGACAGATATTTGGTCCAAAACAAAACTGCAATGGTTCAAATGTTTTTTGATGACGATATTTGGTAGTAATCATGAAGTTCTTATCAATCTTTAGTCGATAAAACTTGGGTTACTGTACTACAAATTTCTGGTCGTTTTCAGGCGAGTTTGCTAATGTTGGCATACTTTATCATCCTATTTACCAAATTTGCACTTGGTGTATGTGCAATAATTAGTCTTACCCGAAGCATTTAAAGGGTTCGATAAAAACGTTAAATAAAGCACTTATAAAGATTTATGAAAGCTCTCGTCTAAAGTACCTTTTAGTTTCATTTTTCGATGTCAAAAAATAAGTTGAATTTGGTTCTCGAGGACATGATTCAAGCAGTTCTACGTTATCTGCATTTGGGAAATCACGTGCAGTGTATGATTATTAACTGCATATCCCAATTTCAATGTATAATTGAGCCTGAATAAGTGCATGATATATTCTTTTCATTAGACATTTACCTGCAACTTGATAAAGTATGAATAAAATAAGTTATATTAAAATTCCCCAAAACTGTGATAAACATAATTTTTCTCTCAACTATTTACCAGATCTCTTAAATTCTGTTCCCCGGCGAGTCAGCGGTAAGTTTACGAATTTGCAACGCTAAAATCCGAGTTTCGATTCCCTGCGGTGGACAGAGTGCAGATAGCCAATTGTGTAGCTTTGCGCTAAAACAACAACAACAATCCCTTTGTTCTTTATGTAAGGTTTGCTTCAGATAAGAATTTTGGCGAGATATTTGGGCATACAGATCTAAAAATGAAACATTCATTTGAATTTATTCATGCAATGATCTTGTTAAGGTTAGAGCTACATTGTTTCTGCCATATAGTACATCCTTTTTTTTTCCTACTCCAACGATATTCTATTGTGCATTATCCATGCATTTCCGGGGGCGTTGTGCCATATAAGGTGAAGCTTTATGGCTACTCAATCCTGCGAAATCTCACTAGTTGTTGTTTCTTTGTTTTGAATAAATATATAATATTTTAAAAAACATAAAACTTGATTTTGAGGTACAACTTAATCAATGTGAAACAGAATAACAGCGAAACTTAAATCAAGAAAATATGGATTAAAAGAAACCAAGTTGTTTCTAGCAACCTTCAAAAATCATTATGGATAACAAAACGTTTGGGAAGTTCACCAAACGTCATTGTTTCACTTCCAACTAACGTTACAGACGTGTACAATAAATACAAAATACGTTAAGAACTCCACATCGGCGCCTACTAACCTTTTACCTCTAATTAATGA